CTGTTAATATAAATGTAGTTTAAAATAATATTTTAAAAATTTTAAATTAGAAAAAATGATGTATTAGGATAAAACTGATTCTGCAGTAGTGTCGTTGATGTTATATGCAAGGTTTTCAGTCAGGATCCAAGTGCCAGTGGGCCACTTTATGGGTTACAAAGGTTTTCTATTTCGGGTAAATGGATTCATTCGGGTCGGCTTCTGAATGAGGTTGACAAAGTTGTGGAGCAAGCAGGCCACACTGGAAGCAGCACAGACGCCAATGGTGCTTGTGATGTTAAACCCAAGAGGAAGAAATTGAAGGGAAAACGAGCAGTTGTAAGGTGGATAAAGTTCTTTAGGTGGAAGAAGAAGAAAGAGTATGAAAGAATGACCCTAGAAGAGAAATATTTGTACAAATTGAGAAAGGTAAGTTTCCAATTTTTTTTATTATTTTATTTTACTTTATTTATTATTATTATTATTATTTTGTGATTATTGTATATTTTCTTCTATGGGATCTAAGATACACAATGGGTACTTGCTTTTAGGACAGTTGGACTTCAAATGCTTCTACTATTTATTTTCTACCTTGGAAATCAACTGCTTGCATCCCTTTTGAATATTGCCATTCTCTTATATGGGAGCTACAAATCATTTTGATGCCTGGTGTAGCGTGATAGTTCTGTTTATAGCCCATCAAGCGTGTCTAACTGTCTACCCAATCACCGTCCAGCATGATTTAGATTCCGATCTCATAGTGCATGCAAATTTAGTTGCCAGGAGCTCTATAGACAAGCCTCATGCAATGGTTGATATACTTGTACGCTGCTACCATTTGCTTTGAACTAGATAGTCATATTTATACTGTATTAGTATGAGCTATTTTATCGCATTTACACTTTTGTTCATAAATTTTCAACCATCGAGTCCATACTTAAACATAAGTATGGATGGTTGTGCAGAGAATGTTTCTTGCTAAAATTAGATTGACTTTGGCTTTCTTGGAAATTATTGCAATAATCAAATTAATAAAATGTTTTAAATGATATGCTATGCTCACAAACAATCAGTATGATATGAAAGGCTAGGATACTATTGATTGGATCCGAAAATCTCTATATCCTATCTAAAAGCTTAGATAGGGTAGGATGGTACTTGCAATCTTGACTAGTAAATTGTCTGCTTTATTCAATGAAGTGTGGAGAACAATGGTAACGGTGTTTCTTACACTTATAACGGCTCTTAGTTCAGATTAGGACCGACTTTTGGCTTAAAATTTTGAAATTTATACCATGCTGTGATATGTTTGACAGAACAAAAAAATTTATTGATGTTTTCAATAGTTAGTATATTTATACAGTCCAGTTCCTTTTCTTTTTCCTAAATGCATTTCCTTGTGGACCGCACCTATAGTCGGAGGTCTTATGATGGATCATGTAATCTTTTTCCAGGCTCGAAAGAAAGAGGAAAGGCTTGTTGATTCTCTAAAAAAGATCGAACCTAAATATTCCTCAGAAACAACCCATGATCCGGAGATTTTGACCCCTGAAGAGCACTTCTACTTTTTGAAAATGGGCATCCAGACTAAGAACTATGTGCCAGTTGGCAGACGAGGAATATACCAGGGTGTAATCCTTAACATGCACTTGCATTGGAAGAAACACCAGACCTTGAAGGTGGTGGTGAAGACATTCTCACCAGAGGAGGTCAAGGAGATTGCTACAGAACTGGTGAGATTGAGTGGAGGGATTGTGCTTGACATTCAAGAAGACAACACAATAATTATGTACAGGGGGAAGAATTACTCTCAGCCACCAACAGAGATAATGTCACCTAGAATCATTCTTCCCAGGACGAAGTTGTCTTTCTATTGCTCTTCATGTCTATATATCTCTTCATCTTTTATGCATGCATGAACATATCTATAAATATATGTACATTACAATACTTATAAACTGAAGACGGGAATTGCTTCCAATTTCTTAAAATTTGCTCATGTTCTCTTGCACTGAATCTATGATGATTCTTATTAGTTTTTATGGCATGTAGACGCATATGCAATTTACATCTACATTGAGAAAAACAATGCGTTCCTGATCTCGTGTAGGTGGGACATAAGCCTTAATTGGGTTTGATATGAGTTACCGTAGTATTTTAGTGGATTAATTTTTTTCTTTTTTCTTTTTTCTTGCTGTGATGGAAAACTCTAGATGTAAACACCCTTCCATACGAATTGTGTAGAGATGTTATCACAGTCGAGCATATAGTGGCCTAGGTTTTGGGCATTCTGTTTGGTGGATCCTAAGGGATATCCCCAGCCAACAGAGCAAAATTCCTCTTCTGTGGAGTGTTGTTAGTCTATGGACGTTAAGAAAACAAACCTTTTAGATTGTATTGTGTCTACTTGGGTGGAACTTTCCCTATGTTCACTTTATTTCCCTCTTATACAGGCTTTGGATAAGTCCAAATACAGGGATGGTCTCCGAGCTGTTAGGAAATATATTCCGAGACTTGGGCTGGAACTTGAACTGCTTCAGGCAAAGGCCGCAAGCAAAGTTGAAAACAAAAGCAAGGCTGTTGAAGAAACCCCCTTGACTGACATTGACAGGGCTAACTGTGGAGGCAATATAAATCCACAGTTGGAGGATTCAGATAAGTTGAGAGAGATAATGGATAGAAATGATGAATGCCCCGAGGAGGACGATTCTTTGATGGATTCTGATATGGGTTCAGATTCTAAAGCTCTTTCAGATATTTTTGAAACAGATTCTGAGACAGATACTGAAAAGGTAGAACGTCCCCTTTACTTAAATGAGTTCGAAAAGTTTCCACTACAAACCAATGCAAAACCACATGATTTTGAGGAGCACCTGCGTCAAATATCTGCAGACTCGAAAAAGGCCAAATCATTGGAAAAGGATGCAGAGTTACCCGACGTTGATGAGGTTGATCGGATGTTTCTGCAAGCTGCTTCACTTCTAAAGAAAAAGAGGAAATAGAAGATTCATAAACTAATAGAATTGATCGATCTTCCTTTTTAAGGTCATGTTTGGCAACAATTGCTAACATCTTCTTGTGCATATTATCAATAACATTCGTCATTTCAGAACAATTAAATCTGTGGCAGTCTTTGTCTGGCTTAATGAGGTTGAGGAACTTCCAGTTTGACGTCAAAGTTTTGATAATTCCCATAAGTTGCGATTAAGTCGGAACCAGTTATCAAATATGCTCTCAAACAAAACCAGCACCTTCTTGTTTTCCCTCTTTCTTCAAGTGTTTGTCAAGATTTCCGAAGGAACTGATTATCAGACAGGTTGTATCTGACTCGTGTAAAACTGATCGGTCTCCAGTGTTGTCTTCCTTGAGAACTTGGCGCACTCATCACTGAAGAGGTCGTGTCTACCTTGTGCATGAATGATAAACACAGTCTGTCTATTGGATGCCCCCTACCCCCTAACCAAATACCGTCTTTAGTAACAGTATCCCATAAACGTAGGATCAACACATATTTTCTTGATAGATTTTCTTCTTCTTTGTGATTCATGTGGTAGCCAAGATCAAAATTCATGATTCAGTGTGAAAAAAGTAGTTCTCCCTATTGCCCCGAGTGAGATAAGCTTATTGATTTCAACTGCAGTTGCACCTGCATGTTACATGTAGCTTTTTGGTTTTTTTATCCAGGTTGCAAGTTCTTCGACAAGTATGGGAGCTTCTTCATCACAATTGATTTGCATTTTCAAGTTCCCTCCTCCCAAAATTTTTTTTATGACCATGCCACGTCCAGTTGTCCATAGTGATTAGTGACAAGGGTTTAACCCTGTGGAAAGGAAGGTCTGTGAACAAGTCTTCTATTCTCAGAGGACCCTCCAAAATAGAATCCAAGCAATACCTATTTTCCCTTTAAGACACCCTTGAATAGCGTTCACTAAAGGCATTGATTATGACAGTAGTGAAAAGTAAAAATTGATCTGAACTATGTGAATTGAAAAAAATTAAGTAAAAATTGATGGAAAATCTTTTACCTTCCCAATCAAGTACTTTGGTTTTGAGTTTGAGACAAGCTAAAAGCCTAAAAGGCAGTAAGCTGTAAAAAGACATTCTCTTGGTTCTCTTAATTTCTTCTTTAATTCAACTGAACAACTGCAGCAACACTAATCTAGATTACCCAGTATCTCTTTCACAACCCACTCTCACGTAATAACACCAAATCAAATCAATCTTACTAGCAAACACCATTAACAAATTCACATGCCCAAAGGAAACGAAAGACAATCACCTGTACAAATGATTTCCAGGCTATATAGGGCATTCAACAAACATACCTCACTGTCCTAAAGTTTGCATTAAACAAAAACCCAAAGAAACAAAATTTATAAAATTTTTTTAACACAACCCTAATCTGAAAGTTCATTTTCAAGCTCTTTTATTCTCTGAACTATGTCTTGAACACTTTTTGACAAGTGATTGGTGTGTTCCTCGACATATTTCAATACCGTGCGCAACTCATTGTTGTGTCTCATTATTAAGTTCAAGTGTCAGCTCTCGGATTCTTTGATCCTTCTCATCCTGCAAGCAGCACCCCAGTAAATATCTGGGTAAGATTTATTATAAAATGTTGCATTGAGGAAAAAATCTCAAGTTCCGCTATAGTTTTACACTAGTAATATAGTTGAATATCAATACTCAGCAACATATCATTCTGCTCAATTTTTATTTTTATTTTTTATTTTATTTTATTTTTTTCATCCAAGATCCCTTCTACATATTCTTCATTAAATAAATTCTAATCCTACTCTTAGTTTCTTAGAGGAAATCTCCAATCTAGTAAACATCTTACAAATTTTACAAGTGTCCAATACGATATGACATGATATAATTACGCACGGCACAACAAAATGAGCCCACTCCAAATGAAACTCTTGCAAGATTTAAAGCATAACCAGATCCCATATTGCATGGTGTTACATAGGTATCCCAAGTGGGTGTATATCTAATTATTGTTTGTTTTTCCCAGTGAAATGTTAGAACAAGGGTACGTGGCTTAATTATTAAAAGAAGCATTTTTTTTTCTTCCTATTATAAATATATATATATAATATAAATGCTGTCTCTTTGTGTGTATGTATATATTTATATACATTTCTTTCATATTATTGGGTTAAGTTCTTAGAATAATTTTTATCGGATACATTAAGCTTATCAACGTGGCAGTTCCTGGGACAATTGACGAACGGGCAATCAATACTAACAGTGTACTCAATCCTTGGGAAAGAAATGAAAACCATACCTTATGTCTCAACTCTGCCAAGGCTATTGGCTGTACAGTGGTCGATATAGGCACCCAAGACTTCATTGAAGGAAGGGTATGTATAGTATAAATGCTCTGCTATTGATAGAAAATCATTATATCTTGCTCATATTTGGACTAGTTTACTTGATATTCTGTTTGGGAACCTGCCAACTTTCAATTCACTTTCATACTCAAGAACCTCCTTCTGGAGCATTAAACCAATTTGTCTGATATCCTATGGCATGTGGTCCAAAGGGGAAGGCCTGCAAGGTTCAGTGTTGTTTTTAGTCAACCAGAAGGCGAATATTGCTGCAACTCTTTCAATTCCAATATAGGTTTTTTTTGATGTAATAGATTGCAGATTCTATATTTTGTTATAAATTATTCACTAGTTACACATTTAATCAGTTAGTAAAAGTCATTAGTTTAGTGCAGGTTGTTCACTGGGTAGCTGTGTCTCTGTGTGCTATCCAATCTGAAGAGAACCTGTATTAACAGGTCAAAAAGATTCGCCCCTTTTATTAGTCATTAACCTGACCAATTTGTCTAACCTGATTACTGCTAGAACTATTTTTAAGAAAACAAATATATAAAAATATGGGTGAGTTACATTATATTATTATAATCCGTTCATTTGCAACCTGTTTTTACTAAAGGTGTTGAGCCAAAGCCTTTTCAGTCTTTAATTCTTCTAATTTTTGTCCTTTTCTACCTCACACTGGATTATATCAAGTTTGATTGTCTACGTTATTTATTCTCAATCAATTAGTTTTTGCAATTCTGTTATCAATAGTAATGTTTTTCAATTTTGTATGCATTTCAGCGTCATCTCATGCTTGGGGTGATTTCTCAAATCATTAAGGTAAGATTCTTTACTTATCCACTTAACTGAATTTCTCACTTGCATTGGGTTCGCAATTGTGGTTTGTAAATTTTATACAAATGCTATAAGAGATCCAAGTATAGAATGAAAGCACTATCAGATTTCAGATCCTTGGAGCTGATATAGACTGCTATGTAGCATTATACCATGTGTTTCAAATAGTTTGACCTATAAAATGTATGCTATTTCTGATACAACTATTGGCGGACCTCAATTTAAAGAAAACACCTCAGTTGGTGGAGTTGGTTGATGATATAGTAAGGTGATGCTATGCCCTTTTTTCAGCATTGTCATTGTGCCCTTTTGTCAGAATTGATTAGTAATAGTATAACGATATTAGTCTCACAATTTATTCGACAAATATTGTATTATATATGAATCTATCAGGATGTGGAGGAGTTGATGAGTCTACCACCAGAGAAGATCTTGCTTCGGTGGATGAATTTTCAGCTGAAAAAAGCAGGATTCAAGAAAACCGTCTCAAACTTTTCTTCTGATGTAAAGGTATATTGATTTTGATTGATTTTTTCTCTTATAGTTATGTCATTTTCATTCTTATTTACCTCAATTCTTCTTTCCAGAACGGCAGAACCAGTATACTATTGAGTGTTGAATTGTGAATTTATGTTTCTTAAAATTTGTCAGTTTCTCTTATTCTTTTGGAATAGTTCCTTTTGTTTGATGACAATTTTTTTTTGTCTGATGACTTGCAGGGCTCTGTAGGCTTGTGTATATATTAGACTGAAGAAAAGATTAAGAATATATTATATATCAATATATCATATCATTTCAGTACTTGAATACATTCTTAGAGATAGAAGTAATAATGTGTTTATCATTTGAGTGTAACTGAAAAGATTCTTAAAAATAATCAGGTTAAGAAAGTTCAAAAAATAAGGAAAACAATCAAAAGGATTTTAAAATACGGCAAGTCAAGCCTTGAGTATAATCAAACTACCGATAAGTTTAGAATATCTATTATCATGCATGCTGTAATTGGATAAAATCTTCTAAAAACTTCAAAAACCGAAAAAAGACAAAAAACAAATAGTAGAAAATTATGCTGTTCAAGATGATTGATTGTCAAGTGAACATTTTACTAACATTGGTGAAAAGCTAACTGTCTCTGTTCTAGATGCAATAATCCAAGGGAAACCAGTTAAGATTTGCTATTCGGCTTCATTCTTTTTTCTAATTTTATTGTTCATGAAATTTGAAAAGCGGATTTCAATGTTATTTCTTTATATTCTCCTTATGGGATAAACATTTATCACCAGACTACTTTTCACTAGTGTTGCACCCCATATCATCTGGGTATTGGGTCCTCGTGCTATTAACACAGTGATTCCATTCCTCGAGATGCATGGATATCTCCCATACCGTGACAAAGATACAATCATTTTCAACATCCTCATCTTTTTGTATATTTTGTTTATTATCTTGTAAAGAGCTAAGCATTTGGAGGGGAAACGAGTTTACCCAAGAATTTAGTTACCAAGTGTTTTAGCATTTACAGGAATTATTAATAGACTCGCTGAACCCACAACTTAACTTTAGTGCTTAGTGTATTAACAACTTACATAGCTTGGTAATTTACTCAATGAAAACAAACATTGCTAGTTACTTTTGCTTTTCATCTCCTGGCGGATGGTTTTACATGAATTCTCAATTAAATTCACATAGGTGTAGTTAAGTGGGTCGACTGTAGGCCCCCCTCCTCCCTACTCTCTTCCCAGTCTTATTGTCATCTGGGTTTCTTGCATGCTATATTTCATGATCTGCTGGTGAGTGGTGACTATCTATATTTGCTTTTTTTTCTCTTCCTATAACTGTTATTGAACTAGCTAATGTAATGTCTATCCGTTCTTTTAGTTTAGTTGAAAGTAAATTTGTTAACTTTTTGTTATTTTTGTTTTCTTGGTAGATTTCCAATAACTATTTCTTTTGACAACATTAGATAATCCAAAAACTATTTCTTTTAGTGTTAACGTCTTTATCTATCAAGTTCTTTTTTAATTTTCCCTGTTAGTATCTGTTTATTCATTATGCACCTAAGGAGGCCAGAAGTGACATGGGCCGGATATGACCTGCGAACATGGCATCCGGTTCCAAGCAGATGGGTCAAGCCCATAGAGAAATACTGCCATATGGGCCGAACGCGAATAGCCCATCAAAGATGACCAAAACTCACAGAGGAACGGGCCCAGATCTAGCAGTCCATTAGTGTTTGTAAGTATCTATAAATATGAGAAGTAATAGATAGAAAAAGGGGGAATTCTGTTGAAGTGTAAGAGTTCTAGAGAGAGAAAGAAAAAATGAATTTCTTGCATCTTCAATTGGCGCCGTCTGTGGGAATCGTTGAAGATTGATTGATCATTGATCAATATTGCGTGGATTCAGACCAATTTGTGGAGACGAAACTCGATCTTTGGGAGTTGGATCCAGATCTGAGCGATTGTGACCTATTCTGGAGGAATTTTAGTTCCTGTTGCTTTGGCGGAAGTAGCTTCAGATCTACGCAACAACGAGTTGTTCGATTGTGGCCGGATCTGACAGATTTAGAATTCGGACAATTCAGATCTCGTCAACCGTAAGCATAATTCGGAATATTCGAAACCAGATCTGAAAAATTCGCACTCACGAAGCTCAGATCTACTCACGAACTTGAGATTAATGCCTTTACTCCGTTCAGGAATAATGATAGGTGAAAGCTCCAATCCGATGGAGGCTGTCCAGCAAACGAAGCTTGAGGAGTTGATGAACTTGATCGAAGCTCTCAAAAAAGAGAATGCAGAATTGAAAGCTGGAATGCAACATCAGCAAATACCCGCGGTTCCGCGTCCACTTCCGGCCGGTGAAGGAGGTATTTAATCTAATATCGCACATCAAGGCGAGCAGGACCAGAACAATCAGTCAGCTCTCCACCGTGATGAAAGGAGGATGGACGATTTGCCGCCAAATGTTCGTCGAGTTGAGGATCACGAAGGATCGACTCACGTTGATCCACAACATGAGCAGATCAGACAGAACGAAGCCATGACCTTCGATCCGCATCGGGAAAGGTTCAACCGAGAGGAAGTGATAGAGGTTGATCGCCGTCGAGTTGTATCGCCTTGGCAAAGAGAGCTCATTGAGGAACGGTCGTTCGATCCGTCTTACCGACCCTCCATAGCTACAATCACTCATCGCGGTTCGGAGAGCAGATTTGTAGCTCATAGAGCTACCGCTGGGCTCCAGAGAGAGAATGAAGCACTCCGATCCGCGGCTCGGACAGTTGATTCACCATTCACTGACGAGATCCTGAATGCTCCGCATCCAAGGAAGTTTGCTATGCCAGTCTTTATTCTGTTTGACGGAAAAACCGATCCGATCGATCATGTGTACCATATCCAGTTGAAGATGGCCCTGAATACGGAGAACGACTCTTTAATGTGCAAATGTTTCCCTACAAGTCTAGCCGAACCGGCGCTCAGCTGGTTCAAGAACTTGCCTAGGAGCTCCATTGATAGCTTCCGAAACCTGTGCGATTGGTTCATAAGCCAGTACTATGGGAACAAGCGTCCGCCGAAGGACATCTCGAGCCTATTCACAATGAAACAGCACAAAGATGAACGTCTCCAGGCTTTTCTCACCAGGTTTAATCTCACTAAGAGTATGGTGATCGAATGCCACCCTTCTACAGTGGTTCAAGCCTTCAAGTTAGCCATGACACGTGGCACTCCGTTCCATACCAGTCTGGTAGTGAACACACCGACGACTATGGATGAACTCAATGAAAGAGCCGATGGCTTTGTGCGCCTAGAAGAAGAGGAGGCAGCCAATGCTCGGACAGCGTCGATCGTGTCGACCGAGAAAAAGTCTAAGGCAAAGATCAGGCAGAAGCAGGCTCAGCCGCAACGTCAGACCTCCTGGAAGGCAGAAAAGAGGTCTAGAGAGGAAGAGCTGATCACTCCGCTGAAGGTTACTCTGGCGAGACTATATCAGGAGAACAAAGATAAGTTTCATCCACCACTGCCAATTAGGCAACCCCTCGAACAGAGGGATCAGACTAAACATTGTGCTTTCTATTCCGATTTCAGTCATCAGACTAACGAATGCAGGAATTTGAGAAGGCAAGTGGAGATGTTGATAGCTAGAGGGGAGTTCGCGAGTTATGTTCAAGGCCCGGCGATAGAGCAGAATCTACCGATGGAGCAAGTAAAAATGAGTCAGAAACAAAGCTCCCACAATTCACAGCCAGTTCGTATAATCAATGCTATTCACGGTCGACCCGAGCCCAGCGAAGATTCAAATGAGCTACTCCGAACGCGCCTACTACAGGCGCAGATGAAGAAAAGGGTCAGCAGTGTGAATACTCTGCACCAACAGATCACATCGATACAGATAAAGTTCGACAGGACAGACCTGCAGCGTGTTCAAGTCCCCCATGAAGACCCGTTGGTAGTCAGCTTGACAGTGGCGGACTGCCTGGTGTGCAGAGTTCTGATCGATCCCGGAAGTAGTGCGAATGTCATACCGAGGGACACATTTGATCGGCTCGAGATTAAACCAAAGAGGCTCAAGCCCACTGGAAATCCCCTGTTAGGATTTGATGGCAAGAGGGTGGAGCCCATCGGAATGGTGGAAGTAGAAGTTCAAGCTGCAGAACGAGCTATTATGGAAACTTTTGTGGTTGTGGAGATTCACCCCTCGTACAATCTCCTGATGGGAAGAGGATGGATTCACAGAGTCCAAGGTGTATCCTCAACTCTGCATCAGGTCATGAGGTGCCTCGGACCCGATGGAAATAAAGTGATAGACATTCGTGGGGATCAGGTTGCAGCCAAAGAGTGTTATTCCGTCACACTAAAATATGCTGGGAAAGGGAAGGCGCCCGTCCGTTCGGCGAGCCCCAGATAGCAATTACAGGAACCTCGGCCCAAGTAGAATAGGGTGGATGAGTCAGTTGACTTGACCGAAGAGCCCCTTCTGGATGTGCAGATCGATCAGTCCAAGCCAGAGCAAACTACCAGAGTAGGAGTAAGACTGACCAGGGAAGAGCAGCAGGAGCTAATTGACTTCTTGTCTCACAATGCCGATGTATTTGCATGGAGTCACCTAGACATGCCTGGAATTAATCCCTCCGTATCCTGTCATTCCTTGAATGTCAATCCCAATTTCAAACCAGTAAAGCAGAAACAACGAAGATTTGCTCCAGAATGTAACCAAATCATAGCCGAGGAAGTTGATAGGCTGCTCGATGCGGGATTCATCAAAGAAGTGCACTATCCTGATTGGTTGTCCAACGTCGTTGTCGTGCAGAAGAAGAATGGGAAATGGCGAGTATGCATTGATTTCACCAATTTAAACAAAGCCTGTCCGAAGGATAGCTTCCCGCTGCCAAAGATTGATCAAATGGTGGATGCCACCACCGGGTATGAGCGTTTAACCTTTCTGGACGCTTATTCAGGTTATAATCAGATCCCTATGGACCCGGCAGATGAAGAAAAAACTTCTTTTGTAAC